AAAGAATACAGGTCCACTTGCGATCTCTAGGGTAAGTGCATAAAATGAGAAGAGAAGAGGATCTTGAGTGGAAGCCTACATAACCCCAACATCTAAAGGATGAGCAGAAGAAAAAAGGCTGAAAAAGAGACTGAGATGGAGTTGTCAATGTTCTTCTGGCTAATAAGAGTTATTATCAAAACAGTCACCGTTTTCTAAACTTGAACAGTGCAAATGAGACACTGAGAAGATGTTGTTAATTTTATTTAAGTGCATCATATTTGAAGACAAGATTTCTGAAGCTTTTCCCAAAGGTAATACAAGTACCAATAAATATATGAAAAGTTCAATCTCGCTAAGAGAAATGCTAAGCGAAACACAAACTTTGGAGGAGGTCACTGTTTGCTTGTATAGTTAACTATATTGCTTGAGATTGACAGGGAAGCAATGAAACAAGCCTTTTCCTGCATTGCTGGTGGGACTGACTGAAGGGTAATGTGGTCAAATCCATCAAGCTCCATAAAATCTTTATACCCTTTGACCTAGAAATTCCAAGTCAGTTGAGTCCCAGCCAATTTTCTGAAGACTCTCATGCAATTAATTCAACTTATATAAAAGATTTACATAAAAATGTATATAAAAGGATTTCCCCTGCAGCATTATTTATAAACAAGTTATAAAAATTTGAATGTATATTTATATGGGAATAAATTGTGCTACATCCACTTAATTGAACAGTATGCAATTATAAAAAATCGTATTTTAAATAATTAAACCATTTCTATAAGAGAAAATGCTCGCCACACCTTAAGTGAAATGTGCATGACAATTCCAACCTATTATAAACACACAAACACACACATACATATACACAAAGTAGAAGAAAATACTGCAAATAAATAATACTGGCTATCTGATGATGATAGGATTAATTAAATTTTCACTTTTTCCTGTATACATTTCTATATTTCCTCAATTTTCTACAATGCATATTGTAATTTTTATAATTCAAAATAAATAAATATTCCCACTATTATATCCTAATAATATATTCTTCATAAAAGTTCTTTTTATGTCAGACTATATCTATTATCTTTAAGAAATATTTCACAGAGCTTAACTTGGAATTTGGGTTCTAGCTTGTACATAATGTTGCCATTATTTTGTATACTGCTGTTTTCAAAACAGGGGCAGCAGGGAATAATGGTTAAACAAGGAAAGCCCCAGCTAAATACTGGCACTTATGTCAGACCAAGAAAAATTTTAAATTGTAGTCCAGTAAAGTAAGAACTTCAGAAGAAAATCTGTATTTGGTATTGACTGATTTGGATCTGGAACAGCAAGAGATACGGAGGTTCGGACTGTCGTAAACCAACCCTTCTAAACATTACATTGTAAATTCCGATCACTTCTATCAATTATCAGCTGAAAGGCAACTCTGAACTTAATTATCTTGGAGGGGAAAAAAAGTGCTTAAAACCTTTTCAAAATGTTCTCCTCATTTTGTAATATAATTTTATTTGTGAAATTTGTTTTTAAACTACATCCTAACATGCATGTGCTTGCTGAATGAAACAGAGAAATTACTCACAGATGGTCACGTGGGCTTAAAGATTACAACTTTACACAAAGAACGTATGTTGAGTGATTATCTTAGAATGTTGTAAGTGACAAGTCATTTTTATTGATTAACAATTTTTATAGACTCAAAAGACCTTCACAACCACTAACACTGAGAAATCTGTCTTAAGGATCCCAATGACTGGCTGAGTTTTGCAAAATACACTTGATAAAAAGCCAAGAAAAATAAACTATTGACTAAACTGTTTTATTCAACATGTATGAGTATATACGAGTACATATATAAGGTCTCATCAATTTCAATAGATGATAAAAATGACAACCCAAATATTATATTTACTGGATACGCACTCTATGCTCATTTTCAAAGACTTTTATGTTGTTTTATTATTTCTCAGAAAAGGTTATTCATTGAACTTCTGACTAAAGAATGGTTTAATATTTTTTTCTATAACCAAACCAAACCCACTACCATAGAGTCAGATCCGACTCATAGCGACCCTTCCTTGGGTTTCCGAGGCAGTATCACTTCAGAAGTAGATTGCCCAACCTTCTTTCTGAGGAGTGGCTGGTGGGTTTGAACCACCAGCCTTCTGATTAAGCAGTCACATGCCTTAGACACTACTCCACTTTTTCTATAGAGACCGTTTTATCATTAAACAGGACAGAAACAAAACAAAGATAATTATCCAGGATGAGGGAAACCATGAGGATGTACACAGTACAAGAAACCAAATGGAATCCCTGGTTTAATTTTTATAGCTTTTAAAACTTTTCCTATAAATAAGGTCACACATGAGAAAAAAACTTAATTGTTAGATCCTATGTCCCAATTTTTCATTGCTGCATTTTGTTCCTAAAATACTGTCAACAAGTACAATTTTATGATAAAGGAAGAACATAAGTCAGTGAAGAAAGAAAAAGGTATGATGAATAATGCCAAGTCACTGATTAGCTGCTTGGGAAATTTTCATTTAGATCCCAATCCATGCAATTCAACAAAGTTCCAAATAGATCAAAGAGTTAAATACTTGGGGGGAAAAATTGTAAGAAGAAAATTTTTATCTGCTCTCTAAATGAGGAAGGGTTGGGTTTCAAAAGAAATAATCAAAAGGAAAAGATACGTAGGTTGGAACACTAATATGCTATCACTGATAATCTCTCCAAGAATATGAGCAGGGAATTTACCAAAAAAGAAATAAAAATAAGTACTAAAACATGAAAAATGTTCAACTTCACTAACATTCAAAGAAATACAAAACAAGGTGCCATTTTAGTCTCCCATGAGCAAGCTTTGTTTTTTGTGCTTTTTTGATGGGGAGCAGGATTTATTTCTGAGATTGAAGGCTGACCATTACAACCACCGAGAGGGAACCAAAGGGTGAATTTGATTTAAGGTCTGACCACCCTTGCAGTATTTTTTCCTCTCTATGCCTGAATGGGAGCTCTGGTAGCATAGTGCCTAAGGCACTAGACTGCTAATCAGAGGGCTGGTGGTTCAAACCCACCAGCCACTTCTCAGAAGGAAGATGGGGCAATCTATTTCCATAGTGATCCTGCCTCGGAAACCCAAGGAGGGGTTGGGTTCGACTCAACGGCACATAACAACAACAACTATCCCTGCATGAACTCTTTCCACATTTTTCTATATTTTGTGCCAGCATGGCAGCAACCCTCAAGACAACATGTTATGGAAAGCAGAAGTCAACAGCTTTCCATGTTAGGCTGACTTGAGATCAAATACCCACCCGGCTCTTTCTGAACTCTGTGAGCTTGCTGGTGGGTGCCAAAGAGTCAAGTCTGACTCATAGCAACCCCATGGGACAGAGTAGAAAATCCCATAGGATTTTCTAGGCTCTCGTCCTATGGGAGCAGATCTCTAGGTCTTTCTTCCGCAGAGCCACTGGGCAAGCTGAACCGCCAGCCTTTCCGTTAGCAGCCGAGTGCTCAACCATTGTGCCACCAGGGCTCCCTTTTTTTTTTTCTTTTTGAGCAAAGATTTTTTAAATGACAATAAATTTTGATGAAATTTATGTATGGGGAAAAAGCATTCTCATTCACTGTCAGTTTAGGGTGTAAATTAGTACACCCTTTCTAAAAACCCAATTAGCAACATATAATGAGCTGTAAAAAGTTCATACCCTTTGATATAGTAACCCATTTCCAGGAAACTTAAGGAGACAATTTAAAATAAGAACAGAAACTGCACAAAATTTTCATTGCTGCATTTTGGATAAAAGCAAACAATCTGTAACAAACTAAATAAACTTGGAAATAAAATAAATTTAAATAAACAATTTGGAATTGTTTAGATAAATTATAGTATACATATTACAGGATGAGTGTCATAATTTCATTAAAAACTGTTTACAAGTAATCTTTCAATTATACAGAAAATGCTTATGATATAAAGTTACATGAAAAACTACAAAATTATATCCATATAGCATGACATTTAAAAGTTTTTACACACACACACACACACACACAAATTTTCCCTTAGCCTATTAGTTTTATACCGTCACGAGAAAATGGCTGGATTTTCACTGAATTGGGAGGCTATGTATGAGGTAGTCTAACTTAAAATATGGGCTATGGGCACACAAACTCATTTTATGACTGACAAAGAACTAGCCAGTCATCCTCCAGAAGAGGTTTATGCATAATCTGTGACAAAAATGTTCCACACTTAAGCAACTGTATATATGTGTTTGAAAATAACAGCAGGGATTTATTTAATAATCTACCCCTGAGCAACAAAAAACTGGCCAGCAAAATATAAGTGCATGAGTGTATGTGTGTGCACACATACATGTAAAAAGGCTAGAAGAAAGTATACTAAAATATTTTTAGCAGTGGTTTACTCAGTAGAGATACTCTAGAACTGTGTTAAAATGATAAACACTAGATACATGTAGCTATTCACAGCAAGATTAAAAAGAATTAAAATTAAAAATTCCTTTCTTCAGTCTCATTGGTCACATTTCATTGGTCACATGTAGCTAGCTAGTAGCTATGGCACTGGATAATACAGACATAAAACATTTCCATTGTTGGACAAAGTTCATTTGGATAGTGTTGTTGTAGATGTTCATGTTCTTCTTTATACTTTTGCCAAATATATTACAATATGCACTGTAGTAGATTTCTCTTGTAAACAGAAAAAATAAACACTGTAAGAATACAAAATGAGGTTAACAAAGGAAATATTTCTACTAGGTGTGTGAGAGGACAAATTGTCTAGAGAGTCTTGGGGAAATAACACTCCATAGGGAAAAGCAGGAGTTCACAGGCACACTGGGGAGAATAGAAAAGGCTAGTGAGAGACATGGGAATAATAGACACACTGAGGAAAGAAAGGACACAGATATTCCAACAGCAAGGTGGGGATGGAGGCAATTATAGCAAGAAGTCATGGGTTCTCGTCTCCCCCCACTCACCAGCCATTACAGCTGCTGATCGCTGAGCTGGCTCAAAAGGACATTTCCCTCGGCCACTCTCAAGTCTTTCAACCTGCTGGAAACTGGAAACATCCTAAGACCAGAGGGGTGCAATTGGTTTAGGGGTCACAGGGAAGGTTCATGGTGAGAATTACAAAGATGGTCAGATGAAAGAAAAGCCCGATTCCCCATTCATCTCCCATTCCCCCACTACCACTCCCATATTCCCAGTCTACTATATCTGACCCCACACACACACCCATTCCTGCATTTCCCATCTCTGCCACCCCTCTTTTCATCAATTCTCTTCCTCTGATTCCACTAGACCCAAAACCCACACATCCTAACAAAAGAACACCTAGAAAGGCCTTATAAGACTCAGAGGCAGACAGGTAGATCTTTCTCCTGAAACACTAGAGAATTGTGGGTTTTGCAACTAGCTGGAGAAAGTGTGACAAGGAAGACCAGGGAAAGAACCAGGCCTCCAAAGGGCTTGGCCCTTGGGAAGGGTAAAGAGTAGTGCAGCAGTGTAGTCTGAAGTCTAGGAACCTGAATAATGAGAGGCCATCCCCCACTACTCCTACCCCAAGGGTGAGAGACAGGGCCAGAGTCAAGCACACATCCCAGGAAAAGAGGGAATCTGCAAAGGCAGTGAAGAATGACCTAAGGCTCAGGTCAGAATGTGAAGTTTTGATAGGTAAGGGCTTCTTCATCCAGGGTGACCTGAGTACAAAGCAAGGGGTATAAGAGTTCCACCAAAGCCATCCAGAAATTGCACAAGCCTAGCATCCAGCACTAAGAAAGCCTTCAAGATAACACCTAAAAATGGGTATCAGGGATGATTTCAACATACGTCTGAGAGGGAAGTTAACTGTGGATGGTAGAAATCAAAGTTATGGCATGGAAGTACCAGGTATGATATCTCTGGTTCACAAATAGGATGGACACAGTATGTCTGAAGCCTACGTACTTTGACAGTACTTGCACTAGCAACATCATATATATCCCCTGAGCAAACTACTGGCCCATTCCCATTGCTCACCTATTTCCTGCAGATAGCAAGCAAGATTTTATTTTACCAAGACAGCCTTGAAGGTAGCCTGCTAAAATCAGATGTCATCTGAGTTCCCATAAAGGAAATACTGGGTCAAGAGAGTTCCCTGGAATGGAAGAACCACAGAGGCACAAGTACTTCACCTCTGTGGCAGTGTATCCTAGCCTGAGGAGAAAGATGACAATTTGGTGAGATATTACTAAGATGTCTGGGTACTTTGGAAATGGGATGAATATCTGCTGTTGCCCTTAACTCTCATTTAAACTATTGCAATAACCTCCTTTTCTCTACACCTTCTTGCCCTGCCTCCAATTTATTCTATATATCCACTTCACATAAATCTTCCTAGAGGATCAGTCATTGCCTTGATGATAAATTTTTGAGGAAGAGAGTAACAAAATGGCTCACCAGTGCCTGGAGTAAAAACTCTTTAGACCACCCTACTTATTTTCTACTACTTCTCAAAGTGAATTCTATTCTATCCAAACCATACCACCTGCTATCTCATCTCTATGCCTAAAACTACTCCCTTACATTTTACCAAGGAGCAAAAGAATGAGCTTTCCTCAGTTCTCATTCTCTTTCATCTTTATGCACCATTTTATATTTTGATTCACTTCCCTCCTTTAAATACTTCATTCCTGACTCTCTTCAAATGCTATGCTCCTAAAGTCCCTCTTCCTATCTAATTGTTGTTTACCATCTCTCTTCTTTCTTGCCCCTGAATGTGTATCCTAAGGATCTGTCCTTAGTCCTTTTCACATATCCCTCAAAGATCTCCTTCATTCTTGTATTTCTAGCCAGACCTTCTATGCATAACCTTCTCCAAAGTCTCCAAGTTTGACCTCTTCCAAACTCCAGTCATATTTTCAATTGACTGCTGCACTTCCCTTACAGAGATTACTTACCAATCCCTTAAAATTCAACATGTCAAAACTAGTCCACTTCTAGTTTCCCCAAATGGCATCATCATCATCATGTCATCCAGATTTATAACCTTTATAACTAGACAGTTATGATTATTTTATGATCAAAGTGATATTTAATTGGGGTCTGGAAGGGGAAAGACCACTCCACTACATTCTCTATCTGAATAGTGAAATTCTTCATTGTATCTTCATTGTATCAATCAATCAGCACAGTATCTCAAAACCAGCTGGGTGAAGGCAAGTCCTACAACCTGAAAGTCAGAGCTGAATAGGCAGGTTCTGTCTGAGTTGTAGGGACGGAACCTGTCTTTTGGCCTTTGCCAGGAAGGGTACAAGACTTACAAAGGACCTCTCCCAGGTGGTCAGAAACACAAAAATGGTCCTCGTTATATGAAACGGATTTAACACTGAAAGAAACTGAAGCCAGATGAGGTCTTTTGGGCTACAGGATAGACTAGAGATAGAACAGCAGAGCAGAGCCAGACAAAACTAGAATTTGAATTTTGGCTCTGCCTCTGTGAGCTACATAATATTAGATGTGCTACCTAACTTCTCTGAACTTGTTTCCTTGTCTGTAAGGTATAAACTAATAATACCTAAAAATTATGATACAGTGATGAAAATTAAATTCAATCATGAATGCAGAGTGCCTAGCACCAAGCCTAACATGCAAAATGGAAATTCTTGTTGTCATCATCATCATCATCGTTTTTCTTGTTAGAAGTTTAACATTTTTCTCTACTAACTGCTGAGTTACCTCAATAAAACATTTTCTTCCCATGTCTGAGAACTGTCATTGGCAGGCAACACTCCATAGTGCTGGAGCTGGTGGGTCCAGCACTTGAACTTCCTTTGTAAGAATCTTCATTTCTCTATATCATCCCTGAGGAAGTTTTTGTGTCTGGAGCAGCAAGTCAACACTCTGAGAGGAGTTACATAATCTCAAAGTCATCACTCCAAGTCATAAGAGGTTCAGCACTAAGGAAAAGGCAAGACTTGGTCAAGCACACTGAGGATGCCAGAAAGAAGGATAAAATGCATGAAGGCAGAAGAGAATGTTTAGAAAGTCTACAGAGCAGACTCAGGGTTAACAGTGCTGATCTCTTTAGGGCTTTGCTCTATACCCTCCTTCAAATAAGCCTTCACCAAAGAATGACCCTTCATTTCACAAACCAGCCAGGTATCCTCCAGAGAGGAAAAGAGCACTGAAAGTTGTGCAGCACTAGTTACACGCTTCACTTGCTGACATTCTTTAAGAGTAGGCAGAGCTCCCAGTCACAGAAACTCTGAAATGTCCAGAATATACTTTATCTGACAACCATTAGGACTCTTACCTCAGAAACTGACTTGGAATGATCTTATTGTAGATAACCCATGGCTGTTATATTCAGATCTGTGGGCGCCCCCCAGCCTGTGCAGACCGGGAAAGATCAAATATGGCAATAGCAGTACCACTTTGTGATATCTGTAAAGAAACCAGACTCTTAAAAATCACCTGATGGGATACAGAGATTTTCAGCACCATCTGGAACTGAAAAACCTTCCAGCCACCAGCTCCAGAATGAGGGAGTTATCCATGCCAGTAAATAAAATGACGTATTACATTGGGCAAATCTGCTGCAAAAGACCTTTTGAAAGTGTTAAAGAGCAATGATGTCACTTTGAAGACTAAGGTGAGCCTGAACCAAGCCATGGTATTTTCAATAGCATTCATATGCATGTGAGAGGTGGACAACGAATAAAGAAGACTGCAGAAGAATTGATGCATTTGAATTGTGATGCTGGCAAAGAATATTGAATGTACCATGCACAACCAGAAGAACAAACAAATACGTCTTGGAGAAAATTCAGTGGGAATGCTCTTTAGAAGTGAGAACTGCCACACCTCTCTCTCGTACTTTGTCATGTTAGCATAAGGGACCAGTCCCTGGAGAAGGATATCACACTTTGTAAACTGGAGATTCAGCAAAAAAGGGAAAGACCCTCAACAAGATGAACTGATACAGTGGCTGCAATGATGGGCTCAAGCACAGCAAAAATTGTGTGGATGATGCAGGACCAGGCAGTATTTCATTCTGTTATACATGGGGTCACTCTGAGTCAGAAGTGACTCAGCAGCACCTAAAAATGATAACAACAAATCTATACGTAAGTAGAGAGTCAATCATCTGCATTGTGGAAAGGACTCAACATATGCCCAACTAAGTCCAAGGGCAACCCAGAGACTGACTGGGGCAATCAAGCAAATACAACTGTGCATCCTAAGCCAGAGAAGTGAAGATGGTCTGCGACAAAGAGGGGTTTGGAGAGACATTCTGACTAGATCCAGGTAGCAAAGATTATTGCAGATTGCAGAAGGGTCAGGTCAAGCTCTCCAGTCAAGGATCAGGGTTAAAAAAGGGGATGGTTCCACTCCCTCCTATTGCTCTATGGAGCAGAAAGGGAAGCTACTGGATACAATGTGAGGCTTTGCACAAATGTGTGCTTTCAGAAACAGGGACTGACTACTGGACAATGAATGGGAAAAGCTAAGGGTTCAAACACAGTAAGACTTCCACTGAGATGTGACCAGTCCCACAGACCCATGTGGCCAAGACCAAACTAGATATGATTAGGAGTATACATGTCCCAAGCCTGCTTCAGTTTGAAAGAGGGATATCCACAGCTTCAGTGGCAAGGAAGAGGATCCAGAAAAAATGTGGTTAACAGAAGGCGAACTGTGATGCCAAGATCCAGAGGATAGGGCCATTAGTGGGCAGAGACCTGAGAAGCTATGACAGTAAAGGTCACAGCCCACAACAGAATGTGGTTGGCAGAGGAGGTAGGGGAGAGTGGTGAGAAACAGTCACATGCTATGGGAAAGAAACAGGCATGGGCTTTACTGATTAATACATGAATCCAGGCTGCCTGACAAAGCACACACAGGGTTAGGAAAACATGAGTTCCTAGTCTCTGTAAGCCTCTCCTAGATTTCCCCTCTTCCTACTACAGCCAGCTACCTTCTTTCACCCTGCCACTATGTCTCTCTTTACATTCTGTGTACCTCACCTTACATAGATCACCTCCCTCTTCCTCCCTTTTATGCTCATCCCTCAGTGGTAGGCAAAGGCTCTAACCTGTGAGGGCATCCCCACCCCAATGCTTATCATGCACAGTAGTTGCTCTAACCACACCCCCCATCATGGTCATTCACAGTAGGCCCTTCCCACCCTCCCAACCCCCATCCCAAGTAACACACTGGTGCAGGCTCCCTCTCCCTCTCTTCCCACCCGTCACTCACAATAACCCCGCACTTCGGATCAAATGCGAAGGTGCCACAAGTGAGGAGGTGAGAGGCATTGGCAATGGCGAGAATCTGGATAAAATTGTGACATTCGTCCTGGGGGTCAGAGATGGTTAGAGAGAATCAGAAGCAGCAGGAACAAGGAAGGGTCAGGTAGTGTCAGGAGAGTTAGATGCAGCTCTGGAATCAGAGATGATAGGTGATGACATAGTGTTATAATCCCTGACTGGACCCATGGGATGGGGGCACTGTACGGGACTAATGGAGTCGGAGCTGGGCCAAGGCCTCAACTGATACTCAGGACAGGGCCTGGATTCACACCTACCTCCTTCTTGCCTTTCCTCCTACAGTTCTGTCTGTGCGCCTCGGGCACCATCCAGTCAATCTGAGAAAGGAAGAGTGATTGTTCCCCTCATATTACGCCCCCCAAACTTCCTCAAGGTCAGAGGAGATGAGACAGTTCCAGACCTTCCATCAATTTGGTAACTTCAGAGATCCCTAGTGCATTGTTCTTCAAACTAGAAGTCCCCACCCATTATTGAATAATGAACTCAATTGTGAAATCATGACCAGTAATTTTGTTTTTTTCCTTCCTCTCTATGTCTTCCCCTTCCTCAATGCTCCATGTTGATCACTCATATTTGGTACATTGCTTTTCTCTTCACCCAAATCAATACTTACCTCTACCTATCTAAGTGTTCCCTCCCCTCCCCACCCACCCCTGGTAACCAACAAAGAAAATTTCCTTCCATATATAAACTTTTCCTTGACTTTTACAATAACGGACTAATACAATATTTGACCAATATTATTTTTAATGAAATAGAATAGTATCACACATAGGAGAGTGGATATTGTTTCAAGAAACATTTCTTTCAGAACATACTTTGTATATTGGATAGCAATGTTAAATATATTTCTTACTTACTAATGTGTGGTCACAAAAATTTGAAAGCTACTGCTATAGTGGTTTATGATTCTAGTGATTCCTCTACCTGCTGTAATCTGAAACCTACTCATTGTGGCCAACTCCTCATTATGATGACCCTCCCTCAGAGGTCCCTAGGCACCATGACACCCTTCACCCTCAGCTGACACCCTCAGCTGCCATCTCCTCCATTCACTCTCACAAATATTCCTCCTCCTACAACCACTGATAGTTACTATGAAACTCTCCCTCTCCCTCTCTCTCTCTCTCTCTCTCTTCTCTCTTCTCTCTCTCTCTCTGTCTCTCTCACACACACACACACACACTCACACACCATTAACCATGGTTCTAATCAGATGTTCTAGGGCCTGAGGTCCTCCCCATTCTCAACGCTCACCCTGCGGGGTCTCTCCCCTGAGAAGGGTAGAGATAAAGCGAAGATGGTGTCCCGGGCGCCAACATAAAGTGTATGGGAAGCAGGATCCACAAGGAGAACAGAGTAATTATGTATCTGAGGGACAGCAAATCGCGTGAGGTAGGAGTCAGCTTCTGGCAGGAAGAGAGAGGAGAACAATATTAACCATTGCTTCATAAGGGTTGAGTCTACAAGCGCAAAGCCAAAGAGACGAATTTCTGTTTTCTTCAAGGTACTGTTTATTTAGCAGCCATCAGGGGGAAAAGCAGACCTCTGACAGGCTGACCATCTAAGCTTCCCAAGAGATAACTGATGAGGCCATAATATTTAACACACAATCCCATCAAGTTGCTTTTTCGCTAAAAATAAAATACTTTATTAAAATAACAACATAAATATTAAGTCTGTTTACTTCTATTCATAGCAATGTGATATACAACTTGAAAATACCTATAGAAGGTTCAAATACTTTCCTCTGGTATATCTTATTTTTTTATTCAGTTCTTAATGGTAACTGTTATCACTTAGAATGGAAATGTTTTACTCTTTTCACCAACACATTGGGAGTTTATCTTCCCTTTCTTCCCCACATTTTGAAACTCTTCCAATTCCACCCAAAGAAAGTACAGTGGGAAAGAGTATGTACTTTGGAAACAGACCAACCCACGCCAAACCCACTGCCACTGAGTTGATTCCAACTCATAGCGAGCCTACCAGATAGAGCAGAACTGCCCAGTAGGGTTTCCAAGGCTGCAAATCTTTACAGAAGCAGACTGCCTCATCTTTCTCCCATGGAGCAGCTGACAGGTTCAAACTGCCAACCTTCTGGTTAGCCATCAAATGCTTTAACCACTGCACCACCAGAGCTCCTTGGAAACAGATCAGCCTGTGTTTAAGTGTGGCTCTTCACTTACCAGCTATACAATCTTGAATAAGTTACTTGCCCTCTCTGAGCACCATTTTCCTCGTCTGTGAATACCACCATCCAGGATTGTTAGTAGAATTAAATGAGATCACATATGTAGAAGCGCTTAGCACATAGTAGTACATGCTTCACAAATGGTTCCTTTCTTCCTTCCTTGGGCATATGTTCTGTTTTGAACAATTCTAAACCTCCCATCAGCATCTGAAACTCTTATATGTTTAAATATTATAACAAATAAATTAGCACAAATTTACCTTCTTAGCTCAATCTCTGGCTCTGAAGACCTTACTCCTGCACACAACACAGCTCTACTCTGCCTGCTTTGTCTATTGATCTGTCCTCAGGACAGTAGAGGGCCACCATTCATTCCTACATGTCATATATGGAGTCCCAACCATCCATCACCTTCCCACACATACATGCTAATCTCTATGGTGTATCCAGCCAACTCTCCTATGCTTAGAATAAACACTAGATCACCCAATCTCCTTTCCTACCCCTACCTCTGTTTTACTTTGCCACCTAGACCTGTCTGAATGCTGGACATGAACCCAACTTGGCAATCTCAACTCCATGTTATGGCTATTGCTCTGGCAAAAACTGAAACCCCAGGCTCGAACCATACAGCATTCCTGTAAGTTACTGGTATGAAGTTGAGATTTTTTTTTTTTTTTTCCTTTTATTATTGTGATTTGGGTGAAATTTTACAGAGAAAATTCACTTTCCATACAGCAGTTCACATACACTTTGTCTCATGACATTGACCACAATTCACCACAATACAACAGCTCCCTTCCCACTTCCTCCTAACAGTCATCTCTTCCCTGTGTCCACCCCTCCATGCAGCCCTGCTCCCTGAGCTGTCTCCCTGTGCATAAACAGCCCTTCTTTCTCCCATGATTGTTGTCTCCAAGGACTGTATATGCATCAGGTAAATGTTCAACTCCTATGCCTGTCTTTTGCTTGGCTGGAAGCCACTGGTATAGGTTCAATTCCAGACCTGAAGGGCAGCTAGGGGCCATAGTCTCCGTGGTTCCACCAGGCTCTATCAGACCAGCAAACCTGGCCCCCTTTTTGTTTTTTCCAAATGATTTTGAGTTTTGTTCTACATTGTTCTCCCTCTCTATCCAGGATCTCCTACATAGATCCCTTTCTAAGTGGTTGACATTGGTAGCCGGGCACCATCTAGTTCTTCTGGTCTCACAGTCACATAGGCTGTGGATCGCACAATGTACCAATTGCTAGGACTAAATGTTTCTATGAATCTTTGGTTTTCTTCATCTTTGCTCTGGACGAGGAGAGACCCATCATTGCACTAGATGGCAGCTTGCAAGCTTTTAAGATCCCAGTCGCTACTCGCCAAAGCAGGAGATGGAACAGCAATTTGTGTAGAATGTTATGCCAACTGAGCTTGATGTCCCCTGCGACTATGGTCCTGAGCCACAGGTTCAACTACTCAGTCACTCTGGGTAGCTGGCTGTGACCACGAAGTGACTACAACCTTGTCCCTTGTCAGAGCTACTATACACCTGGGAATTCAGATCATACATATACACTTATAGGACCATTGTCTGCCAACCCTATACATGGTCTTAGCTACACTCCCTGCTTCATGTTGTTGTTGTTGTTGTTGTTGCTGTTTGCCGTAGAGTCGGCCCCGACTCATAGCGACCCTTCCTTGGATTTCCGAGGCAGTATCACTACGGAAGTAGGATAGCCCAACCTTTCTTCCGAGGAGTGGCTGGTGGGTTTGAACCGCCAGCCTTCTGGTTAGCAGTCAAGTGCCTTAGGCACTATGCTACCAGAGCTCCTTTCCCTGCTTCATAGACATACCTAATAGTTCAGCCTGTCCACTCATCTATCCACCCGTATACCCATGTTTGCCTTCACTGACAATGCAGTACTGTATGTTCAAAAGGGTTCATCTTTGTTGTCTGTACCTCTCATGTACCTCTCTATGTCTTCTCCTTTGATGCCATCATGTTGATCACTCACATTTGGTACATTGCCCTTCTCTTCACCCAAATCAATACTTATCTCTACCTATCTAACAGTGTTCCCTCCCCTCCCCTCCCACCCCTGGTAACCAACAAAGAAAATTTCCTTCCATAGATAAACCTTTCCTTGACTTTTACAATATGAAGTTGAGATTCTAAATTAACACTACCAGTTGTGACTTTTTGCCAACAGGTTGTACTATCAACTTTACCAGTTCTGTCTGTTCAAGGTGCTAACACTCAGTGCTCTCTGAGAAGAAAACAAGATCCATGACCACTCATAGCCACCTCAGCAAAGAGCCTCGAAGTGTGAATCACTCCTATTACCATTTTTAAGTCTGTGGCATCCAAGGCTCCTTCCAAATTTTTGGAAGAGCTATAGTCCCCCAGCCCTCCTTCCAAATACATTAAAAACAGGACTTTGTATTAATTCATTGAATGGTTTTCCTACATTCCAAGTAGGGGATGCCTTGAGGGAGCAGGGAATATTGAGGAAGCTAAGCAGGATAGGTGGATTGTATATCAGGAGGATGGAAGCTAAAGTCAGAGATGTGAGGAGGCTGGGAAGTGGGTTAGGGAGATTAGGGCTGTGAGCAGGCTTGGAGGGAGGAAGAACTGATAACAGGTGATGAACTTGAGAAGTGGGCATACATGGAAATGCTGAGCAGGGGATCAGAGGGATAGATGGATGGTTGGAATGGAATGGAAGACATATGGCTTTGAAAGCAACTGTGTCCAAACTGGACACAGGTGTATGTGCACGAAATAAGAGAGAGGAAACTTCCAAATGAACGAACAACCTCAGGCAACCCCTACATCCCCTCCTTGGGCCTCAGTGCCCGAGTCTGCACCGTAAGGAACTCTCTGAGGTTCTGAAAATAATGGATTGAGGGTGCAGACAGGGCGTGTCGTGGGCGCCAATGTGCGAGGCCCGGGCCCAGGTTACGGTGGAGGAACACCGCATGGGGATCCCGCCCCGGTATGAACCCGGCAACGAGGGTGGCGCGCGCGCTGAGGGGTTCCTGAGGGAGGCCGCTGGGTTGGAAGAGTAGGTGGGTGTGGGACCTCTGGGCGGGGGCCCGAGCCCGACGCGAAAGCCTGATGGCGAGGGCGCCTGCGCCTTACCGGAGACGGGAAGCGAGGTCCTGGGTACCGAACGGGGAACATGGCCAAACACCGGAGCACTCAGTACCGCCAGCAGCAGCAGCGGGAAGGGCGAGGCCGGAGGCGGCCCACAGCCCGGGCGGGGCCGCAAAGTAGAGGCCGGCATCTTTGGTTCCGCCTGGCTGACGGGTGGGGCGCTCCCTGCCGCCTCCGCTCTGGGACACCGTGCAGGCGGAGTCGGTCCCACTCGGATCCCCTCGGCCCAGCTCGGCCTGCGGCTGCCGGACGAAACACAGCCCAGCTCCGCCCCCTGAAGAAGAGACCAATGGTCTCGCCGCTTTCCTTATCCAATCAATCGGGGTTGAACGGAGGCGGGGCTTAGGAAAGAAGCCCAACCCAGGTAGAGGCGGAGCTAGCCCAGTTGTAGGTAGGAGGTCAGCAGCAAAATTGGGCTGGAGGTATCGCCCTAGGCCTTCCAAGTGACAAGTTTCCTCTGGCAACTCCAAAAACTCAAATGTCAAGATCTGCACTAATAGGGAATATATGTGGGTAAATGGGTATGTTGTTGTTGTTAGGTGGCATGGAGTCCTCTTCCACTTATAGCGACCCTATGCGCCACAGAACAAAAGACCGCCTGGTCCTGCGCCAGCTCCGCGATCCTTGCTATACCTGAGCCCATCCCAGCAGCCACTGTGTCAATCCATGTCTTTGAAGGCCTTCCCCCATTTCCTTGACCCTCCACCTTACCAAGCATGACATCGTTCTCCAAGGAATGGTCCCTTCTGAACATGACCAAAGTAAGTGAGATGAAGTTTGGCCATTCTCGCTTCCAAGGAGCATTCCAGCTGCACTTCCTCCAGGACAGATTTGTTAGTTCTTTTAGCAGTCCATGGTACTTTCAGCATTCTTTGCCAGCACCACAACTCAAACGCATCAGTTGTTCTTCAGTCTTCCTTATTCATTGTCCATTTCTCACAGAATATGAAGCGATTGAAAATATCATGGCTTGTGTCAGGCACACCCTAGTCCTCAAGGAGACATCTTTGCTCCTCAGCACTTGAAAGAGGGCTTTTGCACCCGACTTGCCCAGTGCTATACATCGTCTGATGTCCTGACTGCTGCTTCCATTGACATCGATTGTAAAACCAAGCACTGTGAAGTCTTTGACAACTTCAATCTTTTCTCCATTATAGTGATGCTGCTTATAGGCCCAGTTGTGAGGATTTTTGTTTTTTTTATACTGAAGTGTAATCCATCCTGCAGACTGTATTGTTCAGTCTTCATCAGTAAGTGCTTCAAGTCATCCTCACTTTCAGCAAGCAAAGTTGTGTTGTCAGCATATTGCAGGTTGTTTAATGATCTTCCAATCTTGATGCCACATTGTTCTTCATATAGTCCAGCTTCTCAGATTATTTGCTCAGCATACAGATTGAATAAATATGGGAAAAGATACAACCCTTATGCACTCCCTTCTTGATTTTGAACCATGCAGTGTCCCCTTGTTCTGTTTGAATGACAGCCTTCTGGTCTATGTATAGGTTCCTTATGAGTACAATTAAGTGTTCTAGAATTCCCATTCTTCTCAATGTTATCCACAATTTGTTATAATCCAACAATCAAATGCTTTTTGCATAGTCAATAAAACACAAGTAAACATCTTTCTGGTTTTCTCTGCTTTGAGCCAAGATCCATCTGACATTAGCAATGATATCCCTTGTTCCATGTCCTCTTCTGAATCCAGCTTGCATTTCTGGAAGCTCTCTGTTGATGTACTGCTGCAACCATTTCTGAATTATCTTCAGTAAGATTTTACTTGTATGCAATATTAATGGTATTTTTCAATAATTTCCACATTCTGTGGAATCACCTTTCTTTGGAATGGGTACAAATATGGATTTCTTCCAGTCAGCTGGCCAGATAACTGTCTTCCAAATCTCTTGGCATTGCTGAATGAGTGCCTCCAATGGGGCATCCATTTGTTGAAACATCTTAATAGGTATTCTGTCAATTCCTGTAGCCTTGTTCTTTGGCAATTCCTTCAGTGCTCCTTCAACTTCTTCCTACAATATTATTGGTTCTTGATCATATGCCACCTCCCGAAATGGATGATCTACCAGTTCTTTTTGTGTCAGTAACTCTGTGTATTCTTTCCATCTTCTTTCGATGCTTCCTGCTTCATTCAGTATCTTGCCCATAGAATCTTTCAATAACGCATCTTGAGGCTTAAATTTTTTCCTCAGTTCTTTCAGCTTGAGAAATCCCAAGCATGTTCTTTCCTTTTGGTTTTCTAACTCCAAGTCTTTGCACATTTCATTATAGTAATTGGCCTTGCCTGCTCAAGCTGCTTTTTGAAATCTTCTGTCCAGCTCTTCTATCTTGTCATTTCTTCCATTTGCTTTGGCTACTCTCTGTTCAAGGACAAGCTTCAGAGTCTCTTCTGTCATCCATTTTGGTCTTTCTTTCTCATCTTTTTAGTGACCTCTTGCTTTCTTCATGGCTGATGTTCTTGATGTCATCCCACAGTCTGGTTTCAGTCATTGGTGTTCAATGCATCAGATCTGTTCTTTAAATGGTCTCTAAATTCAGGAGGGATATATTCAAGATCATATTTTGGCTCTTGTGGACTTGTTTTAATTTTCTTCAGCTTGAACTTGTGTATAAGCAATTGATGGTCTGTTCCACAATCAGCTCCTGGCCTGGTTTTGGCTGAAGATATTGAGCTTTTCCATTGTCTCTTGCCACAGATGTAGTCAATCTGATTCCTGTGTGTTCGGTCTGGCAAAGTCCACATGTATAGCTGCCATTTATGTTGTTGAAAAAGGTATTTGCAATGAATAAGTCGTCGATCTTGCAAAGTTCTATTATGCGATCTCCAGCATTATTTCTGTCACCAAGGCCAAATTTTCCAACTACTGGTAATTCTTTATTTCTAACTTTTGCATTTCAGTCACCAGTGATAATTAACACATCCTGATTGCATGTTTGGTCAATTTCAGACTGTAGAAGCTGATAAAATTCTTCAATTTCCTCCTCTGTGGCTTTGGTGGTTGGTGCATAAATTTGAATAATAGTCATATTAACTGGTCTTCCTTGTAGACGTATGGATAGTATCCTATCACTGACAGCATTGTACTCCAGGAAGATCTTGAAATATCCTCTGTGATGATGAATGTCATGCCATTCCTCTTTAAGTTGTCATTCCTGGCATAGTAGACCATATGGTTGTCCGATTCAAAATGGCCAAAAACCAGTCCACTTCAGCTCACTAAAGCCTACAATATCAATCTTTATATGTTCCATTTCATTTTTGACAACTTCCAATTTTCCAGATTCATACTTTGTACATACCATGTTCCAATTATTAATGCATGTTTGCAGCTGTTTCTCCTCAATTTGAGTCATGCCACGTCAGCAAATGGAGGTGTTGAAAACTTTACTTTATCCGTATCAGTAAAGTTGGTTCTACTCTGATGATGCCACCCTTTCCCAGTCATATTTTGAGAGCCTTCCAACCTAAGTGGCTCATCCTCCTATACTGTATCACGCAGTGTTTCCAGGCTATTCATATAGTTGCCTAGTATTGTAACAGACGGTGTTTCTCTGCTATTCATAAGGTTTTCCCTGGCCAATTCTTTGAGCAGTGGATGGCCTCTTCCTTCTTCCTAGTCTGTCTCAGTCTCAAGCTGTGCCAAAACCTGTGCACCGTGTGCAACCCTGCTGGCATTTGAAACACTGGTGGCACAGCCTCCAGCCTCACAGCAACACACAAGCCACCACAATATGACCAAGTGACAGACAAGTTCATCTCCGTTAGCTGTTCAAAACCTCTCCACTCTCCCCTTACCTGGATCCTTGCCACTTGCTTGCTCTGGCTTGGATGCCCTGGCTTTCCTTTCCTTTCCCCTCCATTTTTCCTGCCACTGGGGGGCCGGTGCCTGGGTCCCTGCCCTTACCTGGATCCCTCTGCTGCTTGCTTGCTCTCTCCTGGACACCCTGACTTTCCTTTACTTTCCACTCTGCTTTTCCTGCCTCTTGGGGGTTGGGGCCTGGATCCCTCCTCCCCTTACCTGGAACCCTCTGCTGCTTGCTTACTCTCTCCTGGACACCCAGACCCCAACCCCCAAGAGGCAGGAAAAGCAGAGGGGAAAGGAAAGGAAAGCCAGGGCATCCAGGGTAAATGGGTATATGTGCCAAGTTTCTCAAAATTATTCCTTCTGCAAGCATTTAATATGGTTCCCTATGTGCCAGACACAACGCAAAACACTAAAGATACAGACAAAAAAAAAAAAAAAACATGGTCCTTGCATGTAAGGAGTTAACAGTGTAATAGAGCAGATACGTAAACAAACAACTGCAAATAGATCATTGCAATACAGTGTGATATATGTTTGCTGTGTGGGTTAAATTTGTTTTCGCTATGAGAAACAATTGAGAGAAACAAAAAGATGTAGAGGGACTAGAACATATGCAGGTGCCTCTTTTCCTGCTGAAACATCTAACCTATCCTGAGCCACTCCTTGGCTCATTGTGGGCTGTCTTTAACTCCACTTCTACTTGCATCTCAGACCATGAACTGAGAGGAAAATAATACTAAGAAAGAGAGAAACAAAAGAAATCTGTGCATCTGTTCATTTTTGGTTGGTACTGGCATTTTTTTCTCTCCTGTGGGCTCGTTCAAAAAGAGTCCTTGTGGCACAGTGGTTATGCACTCAGCTGCTAACCCAAAGGTCAGCAGTTCAAACCCACCAGTTTCTCAGAGGGAGAAAGATGTGGCAATCTGCTTCAGTAACAATTACAGCCTTGGAAACCCTATACAGCAGTTCTACTCAGTCCTGCAGGGTCACTATATGTCACAAATCCCATGGGACAGTTCTACTCTGTCCTGCAGGGTCGCTATGAGTCAGACTGGACTCCACAGCAGTGCATTTGGAAGGGAATCCTTCAGAGAGGAATTCCTGTTCAACCACTCAGAGTTGAAGATCCAAACCAGGTGATAAACCACTGGACATTCCTATATGTCAGAGAGACTATAAGAATCAGTAGCAAGTAAGTGAGAATAAGTATAAGTGAAGAGGGGCAGACCTCCTTGGGAGTTTGAAAAGACTTAAAAGAATTTTCTGAGGGTGGACTAAATTCTAACTTCCATGAGGGCAAGGACCATTGTTCATTTATTTACTATACCCCAATTTTTAGCACAGTGCCTGGCACACAGTGTGTCCTCAAAAAATATTTATTCAACAAAAGAGTGAGAGAATA